GTGCCTGGATAGCACATGTGGGGGTTCTAGTCCCGTCCGAGGGCGACGTTTCGCCGATAACTTGCCAACCTTGTGAGATTTTCGGAACGCGTACTGTGGTCAACAGAACATTGAGCCCCTCTCAAGTCAAAATTACCCTAATTGCTTAGGTAAGTTCAGATCAGAGGTTCGATAAATGTATCTCTAAACCGAAATTACCTGTACAATCACCGTAATTTCTTCACTTTTGAGAAATCGAAATTGCAATTTGGTTCAGAACCCCCTGTATATTTGTTTGGTTAAAGGCACAGTTCACGATAAAAATGTTTTCTGACCATAAGATTTCCCCATAGGACGAATTCTTGGCAGTTCGCCTCGATAGCATACCTGGCGCTATCAGGTCAGAAAACGGCTCGGTCAGGGCGTTATGGAGGCTCAGAAGTAGACAAGTGTGTATGCGCGGACGAGTTTCAACGGCATTGTAGGGGTTGCACCATTCACAGGGGAGACCATGTAGGAAGTTCAAACAACATGTCATGACCTATAGAGACAGTGAGAGGCAATTCGTGGCAATTTCGACATAATATAGTCAACTCTTTACGCAATCGCGACAATTGAAATCTCGTAAAATATCACTTCCATGTTATTAGGTTGTAAGGAAAATTCTGGCCGTTTCGTCAGCTATTTTTCAAAAAGTTATAACTCATCTCAAAGTGAACATTTTTATTTATAGTAAGCCCCATCGATTCTACACATGTTTGCCAACGTGATACAAGTCTGCCTTTTCGGTTCTTATAAAAGTCCGGAGATCTGGATTCCAAAAACTCGAGAAAGGAGCTTCCACATCGCCTTGATTTTTGAACTATCGTTCCTTTAAGAAGCTGTCCAGATGTTTGAGTAAATGGTAGTTAGTTGGTGACAGGTCCGGTGAGTAGGGTGGATGGGGGAGAGCTTCGATTCGCAGCTCGTTCAACTTTTGGAAGACAATTCGTGACACATGCAGTTGCGCATTGTCGTGTAAGAGCAGTAGACCGTGGCGACTGGCTAGTGCTGGCTGCATTTGCCCCAGTTTCGTGTACTTCTTGTGAATTTGATCACAATATGACTGTGCGGTGCTAGTTAGACCTGGAGGAAGAAACGCGTAGTGGATTAATCCATGGTTGGACCACCAAACTGTGATCATTTCTTCGTGACGTATAAACTTGGTTTGGGATTTTTTTAGAGGCTCATCCACCCCCACCCACTGAGCAGAACGCTTCCTGTTATCATACAGGATCCATTTCTCATCACACGTTACAATACGATGGAGAAAAGTCTCAACATCATTTCTTCTCAACAGCAGATTTGAAACCTCTAAGCGATTCAGTTGTTGCCGCTCCGCGAAATCGTGTGGCACCCACTTGTCGAGCTTCTTCACCATTTCAAGCAGCTTGAGGTGGGCAGCGACGACTGTGTGGGAGACACCCATCTTCTTCTCAATCTCTCTCAAAGGTTGACGTCGATCCTATTCGACTGCTCTTAGCAAAACATCGTGATCAACTAACGATGGTCGACCAACTCGTTCTTCGTCTTCCAGTGACCCTCTCCACTTCTAAACTTCTGAAACCAGCGGCGAACCGTTCGCTCCGATGCAGCGCCTTCTCCCCATACAACGTTGATGTTTGTGGCTGCATCCTTCGCAGTTCGACCAAGTTCGAACTCGTGAAGTAAAACCGTTCAAAAAGCAGTCTTATCCATTCTGCCAAAAAAACTTCCTAAGGATTCCAAAACCTTACAGACTTTGGGGAAAGCGCTATGACAGAAAGAGCAACTAATGNCTTATGTAAGGAACACAATATGTCGTTTAGTCTAAATGGACAACCGCTAAAATTTGAATTCATATGGCGCGTGCGTGGGAACGGCCAGAACTTTCCTTACAACCTAATATTTCCGTCATGGTAAACTCGTCCAACCTGATTTCCTTACCTCTAAGGTGCATTATTTTCCTCGAAATCGGCGAATTTTCTCGCTTTCTTTACTAGCCATTCTTTATTCCCAACCAATACTTCCGCTCATCGACTAAAAAGGGGTATCTCAAAATTATCGTGAACTGTGCCCTTAAGTCATTGCCTTGTTGGTAGCCTTCTTCAGCGCTTCAAGATTCCTTCATTTGGTAAACACCGATAAAATGTCATTGACTGGTTATCGGTGTTGTAGCACTTGCGAGTTAGCCGTGGCTTCAGATGACTGAAACAATCGAAGTGAATGACTGCAACTCAGGCATTGTCAAGGGCGATGACGGTCTTTCTGAAGCTGCCTGCTGCCATCTAGTCATGAATTTAACCGGCGGCGAACTGGCATATCCTGTTTGTTTTTTATGGATAGGGCCGTCGAAGGACCACACCCTGGAATTTTACGGTCACCATGACCATCCACTCGGATTCGGGTAACCTTTGATCTCGGCTAATTCTTCAGCAGTACTAGTTGATGGGACGAATGCGGTGTTGGGCTCAGTTCACAAACCTGCTTGCATTTCGTCTTTGAGCAGCAGTCGTGGATTGCGTCTTGCGGAAAAACTCGTTGCTGCGGAGATAATTCTGAAGGCACGCTTGATGGTGTTGCAATCCCTGTCCTCCATCATTCAACCATTTGCTTCATCCAACCTCCCTCCTTGTGCAGGGAGATCAGTATTGCACTTTCCACCACCTTCCGTGGTATCACCTGTATCACCTGTCGTCCCGTTGATCATCGAAATCCTCGAGCGGGCGCCAGTAACGNCGTTACTGGCGCCCGCTCGAGGATTTCGATGATCAACGGGACGACAGGTGATACCTTCCGTGGTAACTTCTTTTATTATTGATTTTTCTTTCAAATTTTTCCATCTATTCTTCATCTTCGGAAAAGTCACACCCTTAACCTGTCTGACATCATGATAATTTTCTCCTCGCATGAATTTATATTTGCACTTGAAGATTCCGCTTTGATTTTCGGCACGGCAATTAGTCTTCCTTGCCTCTGATTATTTCCTTCCATAGTACTGCTAACAAAGTTTTTAGGGTCACAGCTAAACGTTTGTGCTTGTTCAAATCAAATTTAAAACAATCAAAATTAATCACCAATTTTTCCAGAGTAGTAGTATATTGAAAATGGCCATTTTGGTGTGTCGTTTGTTAGAATCGCTTTGCAAGCTCATTATTATGGCAAACCTACAGGACTAGGAATTCAATCGCTCATGTAGTAGCAACCTGGAGAGTGCCAAATGTAAAATGAGAAGCCCGCTGGCAGCAATTGGGCGAAACGGGTGAGAAAACACGACCTGGTCTAAACCCTCGCAAGCTCCCTTTGCCAAGTTCAATCCATGTTTTCCAAAAACTCTAAAGTGGTATCATAGAGGTTTGATGGGATGAATGACGAATCAATCAACAAGTACGAAAGCCTATTAATGGCTCAAAAAGCCCTGAATGCCTTGCTTCTGATGCTTCGAAAGCCAGTTGTTTTTTAACGTCACCAGTCGTGATAATTTCGCTACCTAGAAGCTAGTCACTGAAAATGGGTCAGGGCGCTTGAAACCTTTTGATGTGGCGTTTTCGAAGCGAAAAGGCGAAGAGAAAAGAGGTTTAGAAATGGAAGGATCAGAGCTTCATGTCCATTAGGAATGCTCCCATCAGCGGCCATGGTTCTAAGTGAGTCTTACATTAGTGCGTTGCCTCTCAGAACAGCTGATCCTTCAATGATGGTGTCACATACGCTCTTTTCTTCTATCATAGCACACCAGCATTGCGTAAAGTTCCTGAATAGGAGAGAGCACACGAGCGACATAGTGTGCATATGGTAAATCCACTAAAACGTTCAACCAAACCGCTTACTCATTTCACGATTTTTTGATGGTCTTTCTAATTGATAATCGCTTCGAATAAACTCTTCAAAATTAGCAGAAAATCGGACTCTTCAGAAAAAATTCTTTTGAAGCGAAATGTATCTTGGATAGGGATTGGTTTGCTTTTTTTTCGAGCACACCAAGCGACCTCAAACACCAGCAACCTGCAATGGCGCGCGTTCCAGTTTTGCCGACTGTTCTTCAAAGTTCCATCGTTTTCAGAGTCATAAGCAACGATTCAATACCTACTCAGTCACTTTTGAGACCTACGGAAAAAGCCTATTCTGGCTGGCTGGCTATTCGGACTCAACCCGACCCCACGTCGGTGCCTGGCAAATTACTCGTGGGTATGCCAAAAACAATAACATGAATATGCCTCATCCCCTGAGCCTAAGGGAGTCCCCAATGGGCGGCGTTGGCTTCATAGAGGCTGCTAAAGTCCTGAGCCAAAGGTGGCTCCCCAGAAGGAGAATAAGGTGGCCATCCGTACTTTCAACGCATGAACGCTTGCATTGGAAGCGTATAGAAGATCTGACGATACAAGCTAAGAAAATCAAAAGCAATGTTATGGGACTGACCGAGACGAGAAGGCATCAACCGCTGCACCCTCTGCAAAAGATTTAATTAGGGAGTTCGAAAGGTGGTCCACTGGTCCTTCTCTCTATTTCCAAGGTGGGTTTCCAGTTGTGACGTTCGAAACCCTTTTAGATATCTATAGCTCATACTTTAACTACGCTGAAGTCTGAAATGGCGTTCGATATTGATGAACTTCAAATATTTCTGGCTCTCAGGTCCTGACGAAGGCGACACCGCCGAAACATTGGCTGAATAAAGAGTAATATCATCTTGTACTCTATCATGTACCACCTCATCGCGGTGATAGGGTGACACCATAGCAAATGGTGGCCAACGGTACAAATGGTCACGCAGTACGCGTTGCCTGTCGTATGGGCGGCTTCTTCATATACCTGGCAAGGAATAAAGGAAGAACCGAAGCCAAACAAACTGCTCAAACAGCTGAGATTGCGCCTCAGTCCTGCGCACATCGGGTATGCTCCCTTACGGCGTCGGGGGAAGCCTCTACTGATGAGGGGCCACTAATCTCTCATGGGAATCAGGACGTCATCGGAACCGGAACCCTGGAAATCCCCCTAAATCGCGACACATGGACTGCCTTTTCGTCTGCTCGTATAACTGCCGCACTATAGCATCGGGAGCCAGCCTTCGGATGCTTCTGCTAAGTAGTCGGCTGGTTAAATATGATGTTATCGCACTACAGGAGACGGAAGGCAGAACGGAAACCATTCGAAAAACGGACCACAACGAGCTGCTCATCATCGGACCCAAAGCGAACGGCAATGTTGGTGGAGTTGGATTTCTGATCAATTCTATAATCGCCCACCTAGTAAACTCTCATATCGTCGTCAGCCCGCGTCTTGCCGTCCTCCGCCTGCGCACAGACGACCGGGTTGCAATTTCTGTCATCAATGCATATGCACCTACATCCGCGGCTCCAGAGGAAGAGCGAGAGGATTTTTACAGACTTTTGGAGAAGACGATCCAAGAAGAGAAGAGCTACTATAAATATGTCGTAGGCGACTTAAACGCCGTCGTGGGCACGAACTGCAATGGAGATTGGAGACTCGGATCTTATGGCTCTGGCGACAGGACCGAAAACGGAGAGCTCCTTCTGAACCTTCTATATGCGTGCCGCCTTTTTCATGGAAACTTCATGTTCGAAAAACCCAGCTAAGCGACGATGGACTTGGGAGAGTCCAAATGGCCGAACGCATACGGAAATAGATCATTCTCACCAATCGACGCTGGAGTCTACTTGGTGTATACATGTTGCCCTCTTTTGACAATGGCTCGGATCATCGCCTTGTGCGCGCAAAAATACGACTCAACAAGCGGATATTCAAGCGCGACACGCACAGGCTCGCACACTTCAAGACTCTCTTCTTTGATACAGAACTACTCGAATCTGCCGTCGAAGCTCATGATTGGCGTCTCTTAGAGGATCCTACAGAAGACTACGAACATCTTACAAAAGGCTTGCTTAAGTGTGCAGACATTTCTCGTCGTTCACAGTCAGCCCGAATTCCGAGGTTGAATGCTCTTGCCGTATCCCTTTCGGAAAAAAGGAGAGCAATCAAACAAGATCCCAACGCCAACCACGTGGAAAAAGTCCTCGTAAACAAAGCCTGCCGTATTGCTGTCAAGCAATCTCTTCGGGAGTACGGGAGAACGATGTTACTGGAAGCAGCCGAAGCGAGAGCGAGCATCAGGCGCTACAAGCGAGATCTCAACGATCAGAAAGCTGTGATGTCCGCACACTTGGACAAAGATGGGAGTGTAAAAACGTCTAGATGTTCTATGGAGAATACCGTTCAAACTTTCTACACAAAACTCTTTCGTTCCTCCACTTTTGTGCCTAAATGCTCGATGCCGCCTTATGAAGAGCCTCCCGCTATCCTAGATTCGGAAGTGGCAAACGCGATAAGAAGCATGAAGAAAGGTACAGCACCAGGCTTGGACAATATCTCTGCGGATTTGCTGTGCTCTGGAAGTACCGCTCTTCACACCCTTCTTGCGGAGCACTTCAACAACTACCTCAAATTGAAAAGGATTCCAGAGCAGTGAGAAGAATTGAAAACCATTCTTCTTTTCAAGGAAGGTCAGCGAGAGGACATCTCCAACTAACGTCCCATCAGCCTATTATCGGTGGTATACAAGTCATTTACGAAAATTCTGCTCCATCGTATGGAACGCATCTTGGACGAATACCAGCCAGTAGGGCAAACTGGATTCAGGAAGAACTTCTCGTGCATGGATAAAATCCAAGCAGTCAGTCAGCTTATCGAGAGAAGCCGAGAATACCGCCTTCCTTTGGCCCTTCTCTTCGTGGACTACAAGAAGGCGTTCGACTCTGTGGAGATCAATGCTTTTTGAATGCTCTTGTGCAAGCTGGAGTTGATCCCGCCTACGTCCACCTGCTCGAACA